GAAGGAAGGCGACCACTCCGGCGCCCGCCACCATGCCAGGAACCAGGTCTGTCTCTGTGGACATACAAGGCAGAATGGGGAGAGGGTGGTGGGCACGGGGCAGCGCGGGACCCCGTGCGGGTAGGGTGGGAGCTGTGGGATGGGGTCCTCGGGAGCAGCGTCCCACTGGGCTGCACTCACCGTGCAGGGACACCTCTGTGCCGTTTCCACGCCGAAACACCTCATCAGCACCGCTCAGCGATTTGCGGAACTTCACGCAGTAATAGGTGCCGGCATCCTCGGGTCGGACATCCCTGATGTGGATGCTGAAGTCCGTGTTGGACTCGGCCACGGCCCGCGTCACGCGGGGGAAGGAGCCCGTCTGGTCATAAACGGTCTCGTTCCCACTGCCCCAGCCCTTCAGCCACTTCACGGCACCAGGGGGTCCGTCTCCAGACGTGGTGCAGGTCAGGGTGAGCGTCTCCCCTGCCGCCACCGACACCTTGTCCTGGGGCTGCTGCAGCTCGAAGGTCCGGCCCGCCTGGGCACCCGCACCTGGGCACAGCGACAGGAAGGTTTGGGGCTGATGAGAAGCTCCAGAGCCAAGACGCAGCACAGGGCATCACCAGACCCCCAGCCCCAAGCTCAGAGCAGGGAGCCAGCACAGCTGAGAAAGGACCCTGGATACGGCAGAGACAAACCACAGGCCCGGGGAGTGGTGGAAGCCAAGTTCAAAATGAACAAGGGCCAAACGTGCATCCCCTGTTGTGCTGTTAGGCGCTGCGGGTGCTCAGAGTCCGGAGAGGTACAGAGGGAGCCAAGGGGAATTCCTGGCAGGAAAAACTCCTGAGTGCTGTTAAACATTAACGATCCCCCTGCCAGCGGCCCCCACTCACCCAGAGCTCTCCAGAGCAGGAGTGGCACCAGGCAGGTGAGAGGCAGCGTCCATGTCGCCGGAGCCATGGTGATTCCCATGTTGTGCTCCCCAACGGCTCGGCTCAGCTCGGCTCAGCCCGGCGGGGTGCTGGGCTCTCTCCTGGGAAAGGGGAAGGAA